GCTCAGCAGTTACCGTTGCCGGGGGAAGTCACTCTGGAATGTGTAGGTGATGGCAGGAGATCCTGTTTTTCAAAGCCTGGAAAGTGGTAGGCATTTTCTGGTAGAGTGAGAGTACAGCAGAATTAAAGTTTCTAATCAAGTATGGCAACTTTCGAGGTAGAAGGTACTTATTATTTTTTTTAACACCTTTTTCTCCTCTCCCTGAGAGGCAGTGTAGGGTAGCAGGCATCTGTACAAGCCATCAGGTAGGTCACTGGGGGTTTGAATCTTGGCTTCGAGACTTCCCAGCCATCTTGTTTAGCTCAGCTTCCTTGTCTGTAAAATGGGTCCAATGAACAGTACCTACTTTAAAAAGTTGCTGAGTAGGAGCGCCTGGCTGGCTCAGTCATTAAGCCTTCGGCTCAGGTCATGGTCCCAGGGTCCTGGGATCGAGCCCCGCGTCAGGCTGCCTGCTCGGCGGGAAGCCTGCTTCTCCCTCTCCCACCCCCCCTGCTTGTGTTCCCTCTCTTGCTGTCTCTCTGTCAAATAAATAAATAAAATCTTAAGAAAAAAATAAAAATAAGAAGTTGCTGATTAGGGGTGCCTGGGTGGCTCAGTTGGTTAAACGTTTGCCTCTTGGTTTAAGCTCAGGTCATGATTTCAGGGTCATGAGATCGAGCCCCGATGTCAGGCTCCGTGCTGGGTATGGAGCCTGCTTAAGATTCTCTCTCTTCTCCTTCTATCCCTCACCTGCCACGTGCATACATACTCTCTCTCTCTTCCTCGCTCCCTAAAATAAATAAATAAATCTTAAAAAAAAAAGTGCACCTGATTGAAATGGGATCCACATTTTATAGAGAATATGTAAGGTTTTATTCTCTCACCTAAGTCAGTGGTCCAGAGCCCAAGGTCCTATTTCCTTTCAGTGACATTTATCTCATGGTCCAAGAAGGATGCTAGACTATCCAGTCATCACATCTTCATTTCAGCCAGAGGGAAGGAGGAAAGGGTAAAAGAAAGGCAAAGGCCACATGCTCACTGTCACTTATGGAAGTTGCTGAAAGATATTTCTGCCTATACACTATGAGCTAGAACTTAATCACACACCCACACCTTGCTACACAGGGGTGCATGGACACTAATGTTAATTTCAGGTAACCATGTTCCTGGCTACAAGTTAGGGTAGGGGGGTGTTCCATTTTGAAAGTAGAAGGGGAGGGGCGCCTGGGTGGCAAAGTCTGTCGATCGTCAGACTCTTGGTTTCAGCTCAGGTCGTGATCTCACGGTCATGGGATTGTGCCTTGTGTTCGGCTTGTGCTCAGCATGGAGTCTGCTTAAGACTCTCTCTCTCCCTCTGCTCCTTCCCTCTGTGGTCCTGTGCACTCACTCTCAAATAAATCATAAAAAAAAAAAAAGTAGAAAGGGAGTGGGGATAGAGTCTGCTCTATCCTTGGGGAGGAGGTATGTAGGATGATCCTAAGGCAGGGAACCCATTGAGCCTCCATGCTCCATTGTGCTGTCATGGAAATTGGAGATGCTGGGATGGGTTGAGGGATGAAAGATGGAAAGTCCATCAACCATGGGAAATCAGGGATTTCTGTGTGCTTAAGAATAGATTTCCTTGCTTTTGTACTGCTAGAGGACAATGTTCTAGATTGATTGCAAAAATGTTCTAGATTGATTGAAATCTGCATGATTTCTCCCCTTTTGTTACCACTCTATTTTCTATAAAACCACTCTCTGTGAGTAGTTTAAGAATGGGGCACCTGGGTGGCTCAGTTGGTTGTGTGTCTGCCTTCCGCTCAGGTCATGATCTCGGGGTCCTGGGATAGAGTCCCGCATTCAGCTGCATGCTCAGTGGGGAGTCCGTTTCTCCCTTTGTCTCCCTCCACCCCTGCTTGCGCTCTCTCTCTCTCTCAAATAAATAAAATCTGAAAAAAAAAGAATGTCTCTGATGATAGGCACCAGGGCTGAGCATCCCTATTATGAAATTTACTAAATTTTGGAGAAATGGGACCCCTCAGAGAAGCAAGGCAGTCTTTTCTCTATGGCATTCTTTAGAGGACCCTAGAACCTTCATTTGTGTGTTAATTGTAATGAAGACAAGCCTTTGGGTGGAATTAGACTCTTACCCCAAGAAGCTTTTGCAGTTTGGCAGAGAGAAGAACTTTTTCTTTTAAAGAAGTCACTTTAGTAGGAACAGGGAGACAATAAAATCTAGAGATTCAGAATTCATAGCATGGTGTCAGGGTCAGATAGAACTGTGTTTGAATTTCTGCTCTGCCACCTACTCGCTCTGTAAGCTCGGGTAAGTCATCTACCTGTAGTGGCCTCAGTTTCCTGATCTGTAAAATGGGTACTAATAATACCTGCCTACCTCATAGGGTTATGGTGAGCACCAAAGTGCAAGAGAAATATCCACAGTAAGTATCCGTGACTCTAAGTGAGATGATCATTATTACTTGATTCGCGGTAGGAAACTGTGTCAAAGTGGGACAGAGTTCATCTGGAAGTCATTGAATGACTAGGCTGCTTTCGTGTATTTAGGTAGGTTTTCCTCTCAGGTTTGTTTCTTCATAGACTTTGGATAACACCAATGTGTGCACTGCTCAGCGTCTGGGCCCAGCCAGCCAGGCTTATTCAGATTGTCTTTTTTCACCCTTTCCTCGTGAGAAAGATCTCAACTTCTCAGGGACTCTCTAGAAAAACCCCAGCACACTAGTTTTCTGACTATGAAGACCTAGCAGGGATGATTATAATGAGTAAACCAGTTCTTACCTTTCCTGTATAGATCACAAAACACGTTTTTTAACCTTTTAATAGAACTTATTCTTTACTAACCCCAAAATATTGGGGCACCTGGGTGGCTCAGTCAGTTGGGCATCTGCCCTTCCTCTCGGGTTGTGAT